CAAATAGATACTGATTAACATTGAAAATGTAAGTATTAAACAATGACTAGTGTAATTCAGCACTCATTAAGATGCTTGTGTGTTCCCCAGTCACCCCAGAGTTTACAGGTATCCCCCTTTCCCTCTTGAGCGCCAGCCACCTCAGAGGTAAGGCTGAATATACAGACTGAGGATAATCAGAGTAATACCCACTACGCTGAGGTGCAGAGGTACAGAACTGAAAGGGAGACTCACATATATTTTGGGCCTTTCAGTCTGATACCCATGTCTTTAATAAGAATGACGGCCTCATTCCACTATATAAATGTTTTGAGGACCTAAGCAGGATTTCATTCACAGTCCTCACTTTTATGGTCAATTTATTTAGAAATGTATTTAATTAGAAAATCTACGCAGCTTTCGGAAATATAAATAATGCTATAGATACCTATTTTGTCACACCCAAACACTAGCTAAATGACATTTTTCATTAAAATGTATAAACTGAGAATACTGGTAGCACAAGAGTTTAAGTAGAACTGGGAAAAGCACTCTGCATTAATGATTATCGCTAAGCTTAGAAAATCTATCATTGATCTATTATTCTATTATCATCCTTAAATTTTGGGGCTAAATTTTATATTATGTTATATTATATTACGCAGAGAAAGAATAATTCTGGGTTGTTTTGAGAACAAATTAGAAACGTTGATTCACCATATAATTAAAGGAATAAAAAAAATATTGGCCCTTTGATTAGTCTAGACATACCTGGTTTTATCAGACAATTCAGGTGTTTGTCTCAACAAACTAGAGCAATTGCAAAATGTAGATTTGCTGTGTCAAATTAGATTACACAAATAACAAGGTAAACTAAAAGTTTTGCATCAAACATCTGCACAGAGGTCATACATCAGCACCAAAACATTAATATGCAGTCTAAACTTAAGAACAAGACACAAAACTAATTATGACTTCAGCTGATGCCAGTACAAAGTTCCTTCAGATAAGCTGTAAAGGGATATAGGAGGTGGATACAGGAATTCTTACAGTGTAAAATTCATATTTTACCAAGTACAGCAGTCTGTCACAGACAGGAAGTCTTTGCCTCAAGAATATCTCATGCCCCAGGAGAGTGTTCTAGTGGTAAGTTTTACTGACTGGTTTTATCAGTTCTGTGTAAAGAAAATGTTCTTTAAGTGTCCAGACCTTACCGATCAGTACAGTTCTCTAATATGTGTCCATGTGCAGGAATGGCAGTTAGCCAAACTCAGAGGTGAAGATCATCAAGCATGATTTGGGGGGGTTTTCTCTTACGCAAGCCTATGAATGTGGTCTTGCCTCATAATATTGCATTTTACAAAATTATACAATAAAGACCATTCCTACCCACATATATTTGATAATTCCATAAATGAAACCAGTTTCCAGCATTCATATCCAGCTTTTCAGGTAACCAAGCAGAATGGTTTGCCTTTCATCAACTGGAAGGGGGGGGGTAATTGTGGTTTCTCTTGATAGGAATACAATACAACTTCACAACATTAACCTATGACCTCACCTATCAGGTGGAAAAGTGGCTCTGAATAAAAACTAGCTGAAATTCTATCAATGTAATCATGGAGACTTAATAAACTTGTGCTCCAATTCAATCATCACAAGAACAGGCAAAGGCTCAAGCATCCTTGTTGGTAAACAAATTAGTTTAACTATAAAAACTATAAAAAGTTCCAAAAGAAACAAGTCCAAGATTAAATGTCATTAAAAATTAATGACTGAATTTGTTAGATAAGGAAATTGTGATATGAAGCCTCTAGTTTAATATTAAATCCAGAGCTTTCCTAACTTTACTACTAATATTGTGAGCTTTGCTCTTATTTACTGAAGGAACATTTGGGTGCTCAGGGGAGGAGCTAAGGGACTATTAACTCACATTTTTTGCATACTATAATCAGGTGGTTGTCCTGTAAAAGTAATGCAAAGGGGTCAAGACTGTCAGTAAAAGCCTAAATAATGTTTGAAGTTGTGGAGGTTGCATTCATCGTCAGTGCCACCCCACCCCCTATTGAAAGATCATAGGAACATTCCTCAGGACAGGTCTGGCCCTTTGTGGTTTTGTACAGTGTCAAACAATGGGGGGGTTGGGGGAGGCTTGTCTCCAGTCCCAAAACATGAGTAGCGCCCCCATTACAGAATGACTGACAACATCCTCCACCCCACTTGCCTGATCAGAGTGCTATGAGGGAAGTGGTAGTGCTATGGCACGTGTTTTTCGAAAGAAGCGCCGGCGGGTGATCCTACAACGTGATGATGGTCCCGTCCTCCTCCAGGCTGCAGCAGTGTGGCGTTCTCTGCTTGATGTCCAGCACGCCCAGGGAGCTGCTGCCTGAGGGCTGCAGGCCCAGGTGCAGCTCGTAGTGAGGCAGTGAGGGCACGTCGCGTCCAGTTGAGGCCGAGGCTGAGGCCGAGAGGGGGATGGGCTGGGCCTCACCGCCAGCCTCCACTACCAGGTCCTCGTCGTCGCTCTCTAGATCCTCGGGCTGGAAGTTCTGGATGATATGCATAACAGGGGTGGCCCCAAGAGCGGCACAGCTGTGCTGGCTGGCCCCGCTATCAGAGGAGCGGCCCGAGCTGCCCGAGGCCCCACTATTGCGCACCACGTTGTTCCGCTGGTTGGCCGGTTTCACTGTGATGATCAGGTTGTGGCTATTGGCGATCATCATGTCCGTCACTTGGTCCAGCGATTTGCCAGACACCTCGATGCCATTGACCTCCAGCACCTCATCATTGACAGCCAGCAGGCCCGTGCTCTCAGCCAGGCCTCCCGGTACCATGCGAGAGATGAAGATACCAGGTGCTTTCTCCAAGCCCTGTGGCGAGACACGCACGCTGAAGCCGTCACGGATGTAGAAGCCCAGGGGCTTCTCCTGGCCATGCTTGTAGAGCCGCACACGCCGGTGGGTCTCTGGCAAAATGTCCACGTCAATGATGGAGGACACAGGCCGGAAATCCCGGGGCAGGCTGATGATCACTGGTGGCTTCTTGCGGTGGTTGTCTGGTCGTAGCAGCACAGCAGACAGCACGGTTTTCTTTCGGGTCATATAATCGGTGCCAAATGCCGAGTAGTCAGCCTCTTCTGTAGGAAAGCAGAAAACAAGGAGGAAGAGGAGTCACACTCACAGGCGAGGTTAGCAAGGGTTAAACTAGGGAACCCCAGATGAACATAGACCAGAGCCAGGAACCTTCTACCACTAACATGTGATCATATAGGTAACTAAAAACTGTAATACTGACTTCATATGAAATTTACAATACATCACTGCAGACACCCTGCAGCTACTCTGACCCCAGTGAGTCATGGACACAAGGATGAAAAATGCCTAACCAGGAAGTTTCTGAAAATCACAACCCAAATCCATAGCTAAAGTCAAGTGGCTTCACAAATTTAGCTGTGACATTGGACAAGAAAGAGGGGACTAGTCTTAGATGAAAAAAAGATCACTTTTAGTTTTAACGGAAATGCTTGAAATTTAATGGTATGAGACGGAATTTAGAAACTGTAAACTGGACAGAGTTAAATAGCAAAACAGAGGCATGGGAATTCT